ATAATAATAATAATTATATATTATAATAATAATAATTAAATATTATAATAATAATAAGTTGAATAAATTGTAATTAATTATAAATTTGAAAAATAATATTAATAATATAAATTATATATGCTTATAATAATAATATTATAAGAAATAATAATTAAAATTTGTAATGATAATTATAATTAAATATAATTATAATTATAAATTAATGTTAATTATAATAATTGAACTAAAAAATTATAATAACTATTATAAATCTCAACAATTATAATTATAATAATAATTAATAAAATTTATATATGAAAAGAAAAATGAATTATAATCTATTTTAATAGTTATTACAATAATCATTACATTGGAAAAATCTAATAATTATATTTTTGATTCAGGGTGTTGGCAGACCTGGACAATCTAATGCCAGAGACGACGACGAGGCGTACGATGACTATTATGGTTCTGGCACCCGACACACTAGAAGTCGGGGTGTCAATGCGTCCGTTCGTCGGGAGAGGGACACGGAAAGGCAGGCGTTGATCGATGAGGCTCGTAGGGTACAGCTTCGTCAGGCGAGCCAAAGTTCCCGCCCCCCCGCACCAGTGCCCACTGGTCCATATCATTTTGAGGGTCAGCCAGGTAGTTCGCGACCCCACGGAGCCCTCCTGTACGGCGAACATGGATTTTATTATCCTGGCCAGGCGGGCAGGACGATGCCCCCGGCACCAGGACCGTACGATCAGCCGGGATGTGCTTTTCCCCGCTACGCAGGGAAGTCGTTACCCCCTCGCGCACGCGTACCATTACCTTATGGTCAACAGGGGTATGTTGATGATGAGTCGTACGGCAAGAGGGAGCCGGGTCCAGAGGACTATGACTCGGACGACTCTTCAGATGATCAGGACCACGCACAGCCTACGGGTCCTAACCACCCTCGTCCTATTGTACAGCCAGTTCGTCCGGTACAGCCGGTTCTACAGCATGTTCGTCCGGTACATGCTGTTCGTCCCACACAGCCTGCTCCTCAACGACAGGCTGGGGGGCGTTTTGGCCCATCTGCATCCTCATCAGGTAAATAATTTACTTATTTATTGTTGTTTAACATAAATTATTTTCACTTAATCATAACAAATTATCGGTACTGTTAGAAAAGTATTATCGGCCTGCTCCTCAACTACAGTATAATTATTTTGTAATTTAGGGTAAGTTGAATAAATTGTAATTAATTATAAATTCAAAAAATAATATTAACAATTATAAATTATATATGCTTATAATAATAACGTAAAATCTAAAATGTAACGTAACTAATAAAATATGTTTCATTAAATATATTTTATTTAATGCATCTGCCAGCAAGTCAATATATACAGATATGTTGTATTTTAATGCAGGTACTAGCAAACGAGCTAGGACCGATGATGATACACCTTGGATCATTAGAGGCCCAGTGCCCGGTGGGCCCATTGATGGGAGTGTCATCCCTAGCTTTCTTGGGCACGTCGCCTCCCGCATGTGGAGTGGGAATTTGAGGGGGCCGCTGAAATGCCACAACATACTGCGAGCGATCGAGAATCTGAAGGCTTGGCGTGAAGAGATGTCTTCCGATGCGGGAGCTCTTCTCGACCAGACCGGGCTGTCACATTTGGTCGACTCCATGCACACCCACTTGGACACCCCACTCCTTTATGCTTTTGTGGAGCGATGGCAGCCGGATACTAACTCGTTTTACATGCCTTTTGGTGAGATGAGCATCATGCTGCACGACGTCCGGGCCATTTTGGGCGTTCCAGTGGAGGGAGTCGTGGTCGCTGAGGACCCGGATTCGGACGCCTGCCATGGGCTCTGCATGTCGATACTTTCGGTCACCAAGGGTGAACTCATGAGTTCGTTCTGGCAGCGTGGTTCGGTGTCCGAAAGGCTGCCATTTCGGGGGCATTCAGGGGGAAACGCCGGCCGGCTAGGGATGAGGCGGGTGCCTGAATGTGGGTGATGCTGGCTACCACTTTGTTCGTCGACAAGAGTGGTAGTAGAGTGACCCCCAAGCTCCTGCACGAGGTGCTCGACGGCTTGGATTTGATTGGCGGTTACTCATGGGGATCGGCTATGCTGGCATACATGTACAGACAGCTAGGTATTGCCAGCCGAGGGGACTCTGCCCAGATGTCGGGCTGCTTGACTCTTCTGCAGTCCTGGATATATGAGTATTTCCCCGATTTCCGACCCCGGGGGCGTCTACCCATCGATCCTGACTGTCTCGCACGATCACGCTCGTGGAGCGTAGGGAATGCGCCACGGTCAGACGATCGGCTCACAGCCATCCGTCGGCGCCTCGACAGACTCACTGCCTCCGATGTACGTGAAGTTATTTTATTTAAATTTAGTTACCCGTTATTTAAAATAACATAATTATTTTTATAAATGCTCTTATGCAATTGTGAACAGGTGCAATGGTTGCCATACGGCAGCTCCAGCCCAGATGCGATAGAGCCGAGGACTCTTTATAGCGGATTGATTCGATACCGCGATGTCGTCGAGCCGTACTTGCCTGCGCGGTGTCTGCGTCAGCTGGGGTATGTCCAGACTGTCCCTCCCCCTATATACCCGCCAATCAGTGCAGTACGTGCTTGGGAGTCTAGGAACTACAAGGTTGAGCATTCTGAGGCTGGTGCAGTAGGTGCCTGGACCCAGTTCCCGATGTCTGGGACGGTCAACACCGGTATGTTGACCCACACCACACAGGATCGCGGGGAGGCGACTGAGGATTACCAGCAGTGGTACAGTCGGGTTTCCCATCCGACTCTCATGGGCGAGGAGCTGCCGGACGAGAACGAGGTCCCAACGCGTGTCAATACCGCCTATGTAAGTTGGTTACTAAATTTTAATTAATGTTAATTCATTACAAATTTTTCTTTTTAATAAATTTTAGTCTTATCTTTTTATTCTTTCATTTTTTTAGTGGGTGGACCGTCTTTTGGGCATTACATCGACCTTGCAGCAGATTGTTCCAGACTGT